CTTTCTCTTTTTCTTTTTCTTTTTCTTTTTCTTTCTTTTTATTACATTTAATCGGATTATTATTATTATATCGATTTGATACTCGTAAGAAGAAGTTCAATGATTATTGGATTATTCGGAAAATTCTATTATAACTTATAACCGTGATACCATTTTAGTTACACGTGATCTAGTAATGACAATTATTGTTAGATCAATGCTTCGAAATTTCATGCATCTAAAATGATATTTCACGAGATATAATAGATCAATTATTTTTATCCACCTTATCTCCTAGATTCTGACGGAATCAAAGTTAATATCTAACGTTACCGTCTAGCTATCTCGTTGTTAAAAAATAAATAACCTTAGAACTCCATTTCAAATATCAGTTAATTCTAGGTACAATCTTAAATCGTTTAAAAAGAAGGATCTTAATGAATTTCAATGGGGAAGATTTGTAAAAGTTCACAAGTGTTAAAAGCTAATAGCAGCATAACGCGGTAATTGCAAATGAAGGATTTCAGGATAAAGTAACAACGTCGAACAAGAAGATGGACGAGTTTGAGGGGTGGGAGGGAAGAGGGGGAAGGGGGTAGGAGGTTGTATGATGAAGAAAGAGGAAGAGTCACGGTTAAGCTATAAATACGACACGCCACCTGCAGTTAACGTCCAGCGACACCATGACTTTGGTTCGCAGACCGAACCAAATCGTGTGCCACTCTGCGTGGAATTAAACGCAGTTTCGCGTGTCATCATCGGTGTGTTGGGTTGGGTTGGGTTTGATTGCCGCCTTTACTTAACCGAAACTCAACCCCATACTATTCTTCCACTTGGATTTTAAACGGCAAATCGCTTATTCATTTTATTTCCAACATAACGTTAACGCCACGCAAACGTTCAACACGCAAGAATTTAAACAACAATTCGTATTCTATTATTTGATGCTTGCTTATTAAATGGACAATTGAATGTGTCCTTAATTAATGTCGTTTTGAAAAATTTTCTTATATTTTTTATCCTGATTTATATTTTAATTATATTATAAAATCACATATCTCGTGTTAAAGTATGTAGATATGTTATTTATATTACGAGAATATAATATACGTTTTTCACTTTTTTACATTTAAATATATATATATAGTTCTATTTCTACGTGGGATATTATAATTAAATATCTGAAGAAAAAGGGTGGTATTTAATATTAGATTATACCTGGAAAGTTCGTAAAAATATGGAAAAATTTTTAAAACGAATAAATTTGATCGTTAATAATTAAAAATCATTCAGAAGTAAATAAATTGAATTAGTAACGTTAGTCTATAAAGATCAAAAATTTAATATTATTAAAGATTGGATAAAAATATAAAATCAAAAGAATAAAGAGAGAAAAGTGATTGAAGTACGATATCGAAAGTCACGTCTTTTGTTGCTTAACGTATTCGAGCTCTCGTTGAAAAATAAGGTAAATTACAAAGAATAAAGTAAAAGAGAAAAAGAGAGAAAGAGAAAGACTAGGTACGTACGTTCGTTGATACGTTCTCGTTGGTACGAACTCGTACATTTGAGGACACCCTTTTTAAACTCGACACCCTTGAATACGAATTTTTAAGCAAACTAATACTCATCGGATGTGTCACGAAAAGTGAGAACGACCGACGGTGAGTAAAAGAGGAGAACGAGGCTACAAAAAAAATAAATATACATCTATATATCACATGTATGTGTGTGTGAAAAAGGAATGAAGAGAGGGAGTAAGGTTGGAATAGGGGTGGAGGGGGCTGGTACGAGTGTTAGAAGGAAGACACGATGAAGGTTGAAAAAGGAGTACAAAATATGGTATGGCTTGGTAGAATAAGAGAGGGGTGAAAGAGAGGGAGGTGGAGGGTTGGGTTAGGTGGCTGTACGTGGCTGTAGTTTACTGCGAGCGTGTTAATTAAACAAAAAGCCACTTCGTATACCAAGCTAATTAGAGAAGGGGCTCTCTCTAACGCGCGCGTTCTTCTCTTTAAAAATATTTACCTCCTCCGCTCATGCCGACACCGTTTTTACCTTCTTTCCCACGCACGGTTCTCTCTCTCTCTCTTTTTTTTTCTTTTTTCCACCCCCTTTTTTCCCTCATTTTTCTCTCCCTTTCTCTCCTGATTTTGCTCTTGCTCTTGCTCTTGGGGGGAGGGTCTCCCTTTAGTTTTCTTTTTATCTCTCTTTCTCCATTATTTTAATATTTTTCCTTTTTTATTTTTCATTTTAATTTTTTTTTCTTCTCTCTCCCTCTTTCTCTTTCTTTCTTTCGTTCAACGGTTTCTCTATGCATTTTTCTTTTTTTTTTCTCTCTCATCTTTTACAAGCCGACTCTCTTGAGACTCAAACGATGAAACGAGATCTTTTCGTGTACACGGGTTGTTATACTCGTGCCTTTTATTTTTTTCTTTACGTGCTCAGAAAAGATAGAATTGATTTTACCGTTGATTGAGAACTCGTCTGACACGTAAGAAATAAAATACGATAGAATTGTCTCAGAATTTGTTCACACATTCGGATGAAATAAATATTTATTATTTGAATACAATTGTTAGATATTCACCAAATATTCAGAAAAAGGCTTCGAGTGCAAGATATGTTTTTAATATTAAAAGTCCATAAATTGTACTCGGACTAACCAAACGAATAATATTAATAATATAATAATAAAAAGGACAAAAAAAATATTATATTGTAGAAAAGTTAGTTGAAAATTATTCGCTTTCCCTATCGCAGATCGAACAAGCGAGACAATTCGCTATGCGTTTGAATATTCGATCGTCCTGTGATTCCTGCCTGTGAAGATAACTAAATTCAATGATGCATCGTTATAGTCCCGCATTTCGTACGGCTTTGAAAGCGTCCATCATCAGCGAATTTCATGACACTTCGGTATGCATGTGCGCAGAGAACCGATTTACAATGGAATATCTGCTCTCTAAGCCACGTTTCAAATAGAATGTTGGATAATAATGTTCCTTTAAATCGTTAACTTCAAACTTATCGAAAAATAATAATTATTATTATATTTGATTATATAATAAAATGACAAATACATTTTCACGTATTAGAAATCAAAAATCTATAATCTTAAAAACGTCAAATTAATTATATATAAATAAACTTTAATTTGTTTCTTACATTGTTCAAACAAATAATACATATTTTCTATTCTTCTCTCTTTTTTTTATTATAAAATCGGCACGTATCTTTTTCGCGAATTAAATCACCCAATTAAAATAATAAAACAAAAGCAAAAGTAATCACATATAAGTATCGAAAAAAATCTATATTAATCAGCATATTATATTAAAATAAATTTAGATATAACAAGTGCAGATCCGTGTATTTGATGTTAAACTTGATATAGACATTATACAATATCTTTGATTCTAAGTATAACGAAAGTAGAACACTAAAGAACTTAGTTTACAGTTTAATCAAATGAAAACGTTGAAATAGTTGTTCGTGCGTAAGATGGATAGATGATACTCGGGGAAAGGGTTTCCTCCTATTGTTTAATTCAATGCGTAGTCCTCGTTAATCGTAGATTTCGTAGGAAAACAGGCCGACCACGATTAGGATATATACTAACGTTGCTACCCGCAAACAAACACTGCTGCGGGTGAAACGCGATGAGCGAGTACCAATGTGAAACGAGAGAGAGAGAGAGAGAGGGATGAATACGTAGATGGATAGAGATAGTAAAGGGAAAGGGTGAAAGGAGGGTGGAAGAACAAACGGAACATGAACGGATGCTACTGGATGGACAGTTGGAGACATTGAAAGGGGGAGAAAGGGGTTGTGTGAGAGAGAGAGAGAGTGTGTGTGAGAGAGTACGAAAGGAGCATCTGCGATCGGATTAGCACCGTGTAGCGGCGACACTTCTCGGTGATTAGGCTGATTTCACATCAGCCCTAAGCCCACGCTTACAATGCCTGGTACCGATAGAACGGGCAAAGCACTCTCTCTCTCTCTCTCTCTCTCTCTCGCTCTCTTCTCTCCATACAATTGCCATTAGATCCGTTTGAACTGGAAACACTTGATGCACACGTTATATGCATTCCAAACATAACAAACAGTTTATTTTTCTTATATTATATTCGGAATGCATTTTCCTTTTTTTTTTCTTTTTGAGAAAGAAGGGTGTATTTTATTCGATATTGATACTGGTTAGGATTCATCATTGGGGTTGAATATGGGTGTATACGAAATATTTATGAGAATTAATATGAATTTATTGTAGAAAAATTGTTAAGATTAATTCATTTATATGGGGAATAATAATCTACATCATAAATCAAACGATATTTTAAATCTTTACGAATATATTGATTATAGAATACTCTATCGAAGTAATTAAAAAAAGAAGAGAAAGAGTAACGAATCGAATTTTAATTAAAAGAAAAATTGTCCTAATATCGTATCATCGAATGAAAATACAATACATACACGGTTGACCATTGAATCGGTCGGCATTCGGTTCCACGTTTTGGTTCGAACCAACGAAACCGTTTTTTTCTGATAGTTGAAAAACATCGTTTTGGCAATCGAGTAAAATTTTATTTCCTAGCCCTTTTTCAACGTTGTTAACTCGGCACGCGCGTCATTTACAAAATCGAACCGCCAGCATAACCGAAACCACGGGGTTTGACTACTATTCGACGATTTTGAATGCACGGGAGGGAAAGCCCTGCGCTGCTGCTTGTTTTTCATCAAAGTCACCGTTGTTCGTTGAAGCATTATAATGTAACGAGTCCGTGATTGGTTTTTGCAATAACGAACGCTTCGCTTGTTTTTTGTTCCTCCTATTATTTTTTTTTTTTTTCTGGTTTTGCCCCCTCTTTTTTTCTTTTTTTACACCATATCGTACGCAACGTTGCGTGACCACGACGAACCGAATCGGTAGTCTAGTCTACCTGACCAAAAATTCTGACACGATTTGTCGATCATTTATTTCCTCGATTTATATTTTGGTTTTATTTTTTCTGTTACAGCCAGGCAAGAGATATAAGTCGCCGGAAGAATCACCACGGTCCGAATTGAACAAAGTTAGGTGAGTTGTTCGATTGAATTTTTTCCTTTACTTTTGATAATAACTCGACTGATGAAAATAATAATAAATAATACTTATGAAAATAATGAATACTTTTGAAAATAACTCGATTTTCTTTTTTTTTTTTTCTTTTTTAACAATTATCACATTCTATTCTATAAACGTTCTTAAGATTCTCGAATCGTACCACCAATCATTTCGGTATAACGCGAAACCTTCGGCACATGGCGTTTGCTAAAATTATCATAGCGTAGAAATTGTTGGGAAAGTTGAACGACTGCCAGGTCAAAGTCGTATCTTTCTAAAAGAAGCAAAACGAGATAAGGTAAGAATTTATTATCTCAAATTAACCGAATATTTTATATAATATGAGACGGAATATGGGTTGAAATTATTCGAAGAACTAACTTAATCGAGAAAACAAACTCGGCTTTCGAATATCGTACGATTTAACATTAATTAATATTACAAATTAGGTTATGCACAGACATTTAAAAAAGAAAAGTAGATTAAATGATTGCACGTAACGTCAAATAAAAATTTATCGAATTACATATATATATATATATACACAAAATATTCGGATAATAATTTTATCATTCGAATAAAACGTTGCTGACATGTCAAACGGAAAGAAGAAGAAGAAGAAGAAGAAAGAAAAAAAAGGTCTGACTGACACAAAAGTTTCCTATAAAAAAGGATTTCAATGGGGAAGGGGAAAAAATATGAATTTAAGGGGTAAGAATAGGTATAAAGAACGTTGCTGCTGAAAATCGCGATGCGTGCAACATCGCAAGGATAGTATCAGGGAGGAAATAGGATAGGTATTTCTCGCATAGGTAGGTAGAAAGGTAAAAAAAGAAGGAAGGAAGGAAGGAAGGAAGGAATGAAGGAAGGAAGGAAGGATTTGATCGTAGTAAGGAAATCTCATTCGCTATATACATATACGCTATTTGGGATATCGATTTCTCTGTGTGACGGCCAGTATATTCTCGTCTCGTAACCACAATATCCATTCCTCCAAAGCTATTTTGAAAATGCACTAGCCCCATGGACCACCAAGAACGGAAACGGTACGACTCCGGGACGATCTATATTCGAAACCCGAAGAGAGGATATTGAACGATAGTAAAAATCAAGATCCTCGTCGTCGTTTGAACCGACTATGAACTTTCCTTTTATTATTCCCCTCCGTTTCGTTTCACCATTTCACCACCACCACCACCACCATCACCATCACCATCACTATTTTATGCGTACCTATCTAACTTTCTTTACCTTTGTTATCTATATTCTCGGCACCGTTGTAATCATTTTTTTGTTTTTTTTTTCAAATCGAACCAATTTTTTTACAAACGTTATTTTATCAAGTGAAATGTATTCGTATCTGAATTTGTGTTTGTATTTTTTTTTTGTTTGGAAGTGAAATATCGAATATACGACAAATTTTGTTTTATCGCAAATTTATGTTTGAATATTTAATAGAATATTTCTACAAGTTTAATACATTGTATGCACATACGTATAAACAAACACACAGGTACGAATATACTTGCAAAATTCTATGGTTATTATACCCTTTTTCCGAACGATCGTACCTACCATTCCTGATATCCCTATTTTTAATATTTTTTACGTTTGAATTCGTAAGCTATTCTAGTTCTTATCCTATCAGGATTGTTATTTATAATGAAATGAAAGAGGAGTTAGGTCGAACCGATTATCTTTCCTTACACCTGTGATTCCCACCTGCAATACCTGACGATTAAACCTTCCGTTAGCTAAATGGTTTCAGTTCGACGTTGAGTAAAACCTGAGATATCGGCAATTACTCTGTCTATGTGTATGAGAAATAAAAGTTACTTCTTTGTGTTTCCACGGTTTCAATGTGAAACGTCGAAATAAGAGAATAAACGAAAACGAAATGTACGATTTTCTTTTCTCCTCATTCTTATTTCCTTGTCGTCGGTTTGACAAATGGGGCTAGGTGAGAAAATAAAAATGCATTACGTAATACGAAACTTAACAATTCTTTTTACCACCCCTTTATCATTTATTTATTTCCATCTTATTTCCTATTTCTTTTCTTTTCTTATTAATTTCGTACATCTTGAATAAAAATATTTTGAATATATTATATATCAAATAAATATTTCAATAAAAATTAAACAAAAAAATATCTTAAAGCGTATTTATATTTCGAGTATGTTATTCCGATTAATAAATAAAATAATAAAATAACAAAAATTTCATTTTTTATTGGCATACCTGCATATAGTTCGATATCGAAACAATTTATAAACGGGACACCTATTTTCTTTTTTCTTTTTTTTTTTTTTATATATATATAATTCTGTGAAAACGAAACGAAACGAATGATCGATTGGTTTCTCTTCGGTGACCCAGTCTGCGAGAACGTTTGCATGTACGTACGTGCATACACGCACACGCCTACACTTATACTAAGTTATGAAAAATATTTCCAAGTAGGAATACGAGACGACGAAACAATTTCGCGTATACTGCCAGGTTTTAATAATAATTTGAAAAATATTGAGAAACAATTACTTTCACATTTCTACGATACACTCCCGCACGAAGGAAATAATTAAATGTACGACGAGGATTTAATAGTTACGTGGAAAGACGTTGTTAAAAGTTTATGCAAAATATTTCGATGTTTGAAAATAAATAATTATATATGCTATTGCAATTACAGTAACACGAATTAATTTTGAAGAATACATTTCTTTAGGATAATCGAGAAAAAATTTACAAATTTGTATCATTACAAAATTACTCAATAAAAAATTCATTATTACAAAATTAATGATTTATTTTCATATGATCTATGTTCAATTAATTATCCTAAATATAAAAATAAAATAAAGTATTAGTATAGAAAAAATAAAAGAGTATGTGTGTCATATATAACAAAATTATTTTCGTCGTCGATTATTATCAAAGCTGTTGCATTTTTTCTTGTTCTATCAATAACGAATAAAACATCGTGATTTTGACGTAGAAAGACGTTGTTTAAAAAAGCCTAGGGCTAGTGAAAAAAAAACAAGGGATTATGACGACGAGGGTTAGTGCGAGAAGTTAAATTTCGTTTAATACGCGTGCTGCGGTCCGACCGAGGAGAACAAACGCAAATACGATTTAACCGAAAAGCTTACGCTTTTGTTTATCCTCGAGGATGCAGTTTCGACACGAGAGAGAAGAAGGGCTATTGCGAAAGCGTATTCAACCAAAAGTCTCTCTCTCTCTCTCTCTCTTTCTTTCTCTTCGAGTTTAACTTGGAAACAAGCCACGAGAGTCGTATCGTTGGTAAATCCACCTAAACGCAAGGCTTTCCTCCCCTTCCCCTCTCACACTTATTGCATCCAATCCGAATAGTTATAGATACACAAACCGTATATACAATGTCTTTATATATATATATATGTTCTTTTATACGAGAAAAACTAAATATATAAAAAATTGTCTGGTGCATTTGTATCACGATGTCATTACACTATATACCTTCTGTGCATCATAAATATTTAAAAACACTGCCACATAAAGAGCATTAATAAATACTACGAATAACGTTGAATTTATCAATATAATTAACGTTCACAATAAAACATACTGCTTCTATTTTATTTCTTGTTATTATTTATAAACAAAATTAGATTAATATGAAATATAAATTAAGTGACATTTGATTTTTTAAAACTGAAATTAAACGATTTTAACAATTGACTAATTTTGAAAGTGGTGTAAGTTCACTTGCAGCCTGTCAATATATATATTATTTTAATTAAATTAGCCTAAAAGTAATGTATTTAATCAAATGACATATCGATCAATTAATAGAAACATTAACAAACTTGATATAATTAATGAATATTTTTAAATAAACCAATATGCAAACCTTTAATTATCTCAAAACAACAGAAAATGGACTTAAACCACGTTTAAAATAAAAGCTCCATATATATATATGCAAAGATTTCAAATATAATAAATAATAAATAAATGAGAAACTTACATTATAATTTGATGTATCCTTTGCACGATTAAGAAGTATTACAAATTGTAATCCTGAGTAATCGATGATGTGTCACCATGGTCCATCGTTAAAAAATAGATTGAACTATTGTATGGTAGGAAGCACAGATATCCATAAATGCACATATATATCACTCAAAACACTACACGCATTTGCATTAATATGCATATCACTTGGGATAAGATAAAAAACACACACGCGCACACATGCACGCGCTCGCGTATACGCGTCGCGAAATATAAGTTACATTTATTTAATACAGATGTTACGGGTCTCGAAGTTCGAACAAGACTAACAATAAATACGAAGAACAAATGTGTAGTATAGTCGAAGTAAGCCGAACGCGCACGAAGGTCAAGGTGTTTACAAGTACGACGACGAGATTGTTAATAGAATAAAAACAGTTATATTGGAATGACTGAAGAGTGAGAGGTGATACATATAAAGTAAATAAGACAATGGTCCCCCCCTTCCCTCCTACCCCCTACTCCCGTTCCATCTGTTAAAGTTTTCTCGGTGAATATTTTCTCTTTAACAACTTGGTATTCTCTTGGTTAAACAAATTTACTTAAATAAAGTCTAGAAATAGTAGGAGATTAGTCTCGATTAGTATTAAATATACACGCTTTTGGTTATCCCATCTACCATAGTGTTTACACGATCCTTTATGCGTTTCTAAATTTGCACAAGAACCGAAATGCAAATATTAGAAGGTACCCAAGCAACCACCTAGCTAGCATACGTATGCATGATGTATATGAAAGAGTGGATGATAAAATAAGAACGTACTCGCTTAACTACGTAAGAACAATTCATAATACGCATCGTGAAAAGAAGAAAATTTCATGAAAAGTATAAAAAAGAAAAAAGATATTGGGTATGGGGGAAAAATATTTTCGTATTAATTAAGTTGTAAGATATTGAAATTTTACACGACTAGGTA